TTTTGGCTGGCAACAATCTGCTTAATTTTAGCCTTGTAAAACAGCTCTCGTGAAAGTGCAAGGAGCACAATGTGATGTGCGATGAAGGTTTCCAATCTGGCCTATGAACATTCACAAACTTTACCCATTGATCCCTTACTTTCTCACTTTTAGGGAATAAATGCATGGAAACATTTGGAGTATAAGAATTGTTCGTACAACTGATGCCTCCGGGAGCACCGGCCGCAGAAGTCTTTCCACCACGATTCGCCATTGTGAAATGTATGAGCTGCACTTTCCCCCGCGCTCGATGTGTCAACCGTGTGACGTCACATGCATAACTAATTAGGAAATCGCCCGGACGCACTTTTGTCAGCAACTTGTCTGTGTTCGCGCTCCAAAAATACAATGAAAATGTTTTCATGGCTTAAAAACTGTTTATCTGATTAAATAGGAATCGAAGTAATAATTAATCGTTGTTTACAGTAGATTGATTTTCGCTTCAGTAGCACTTTAAAAGTTAGATCTTAAACACCCTGTATGGAAACACCTGTTAATAATCGGGCACGTTCTAGCATTACCCCTTGATGGAAAACAAACGGGGTAACCAATCAGAATACGAGTAGCACGGTAATAATGTTGTCAGTGCAAACAACTTACCATCTTGTGACTTGGTTTTTATGATTTTATTGGTCATCAGCATTAAGATGTCAATTAAGGAAAATTTTTCAGGCCGATGCATCAAAGATCCCCTCGCTTCTCTTCTTCAGAATCATCACCTTAACTCGTAACATGTTAATTTGAACGGCAAAACCAGCCACCCATCACAGTAAGTAAGAATTGTCGTTTTTTTGTCTCAGTGCCACCTGTCAGTGTATAATATCTTTCCCTGTATATATGCTCACTGCGCTAACATTACAGTGGCTATTACACTTATGCTGCAATAAACTAAAAATATTGAAAACTGAAGAGAAACTTGAACATTGTCGGAAAACATTTACAGCCAGTTTTCTGCCTAAAAAACGTGGCTTGGTACGAAAAAAGAAAGACCGAGTGAATATGATTTGCATACTCGTGAGTATCCTGGCTCTGAAGATTTAACAATAGATTTTTTTCTTCTTTCGTCTTTCTTTTTGAATTCATCTACTCATTTACCTATTTATTTGGCAACAATCAAAGGAGAGAATGAAATAGATCTTTGTCACGATGCAACAGTCAGAGGCTCTTGATAGTTTGTTGAACATATTGAGCGAGTTCGGGTTTCACTCAAAGAGCAGGTGAAAATTAATTCCAAAAAAAACATCCAGTCACTTCTCATAGCTACATGAGCCTTCTCACGCACTATTCCCTGTGACGAAAGTACCCGTTATTGCGCGTGAGAAAATATGATTAATGATCAAAGACTTCTGTCTTATGTAATGCAACATTTCAAATTACTAATACCACGCACACTCTAAGCCTCGAGAAAATTAAAAGTCAGCAAACAATTTTGATCTAACTGTCAAGTGACACTGCATTTTCATTGAAGAAAAGGTCGATTTACAATTGCAGTTTGGTTAGCAAGTTCTTATGTTCCACCTAAGAGGCGAAGTTGAATTTTGTAATTCTGTACGTAAGTTCATTTCACATATTTTACTCAGTTAAAGACCTCTCCGGCGGATAACAACAACAACAACAACAACAACAACAACAACAATAACTTTATTGGATACCTGAGACATGTTAACCGAGCTTTTTAGTGGAGTCATGGTGACAATGGCTGCGGTCGTCATTCTTCATTCTTCACAGCTTGGTGTAGTTTCAAACATAAACAACTGTTCAGCAGGAGGATTTTTCTTCGCTCCAGGAAGAAACATGATAAACAACCACGCCCTTCGGGGTCACCTGCTGTGTCAGGTGACAGTAGCGCAGCCAATCAAATGCTTTGAAAAATGTCAGTCTGACTGTCGGTGCATCTCGTTTAATTATTTGACCAATGTGAATCAAAATAACTGTGAGCTTAATGAGGAAAGCAGGTACACCAATTTCAGTGCGTTGAAGCCTCTAGAGGGATCGCAATACTACGATCTCGCCATCAACTATGGCATCAGGGTAAGGACAGCTAAAAATTACCAGAGGAGCTTTGAGCTTCTAAAAAAATGTAGTGCTGCTCTGGCAAGTCAAATTTGCCTTAAACGTCCATAACTGGTACAGCAAAAAGTAATCACTTAATGGAAGTAGTTTCCGAAGAGGAACATCTATACAAAAAAACAAAAAAACTGATTAAATTCACTTGTTGTTATCATTTTTTGTCGACAGTGAATTTCGAACAAGCTCTTCTAGTTATTTAAAACCAATTTTGAAATAGCTAAAAAATAACAACCATTCCTCCAACTCTCGTTGGAACTTATGTGCACATTTCACGGTTCAACTTAATTCATGAATCTATTATTTGAAACATAACTGTACTGTATTTTGTAATTTACCTTTTGGTTCTGGATAAACATGTTTTTTCAGGCAAACAACCCTTTGGCCGAGTGTCACAATGGATGCTGTGCAACTCAAACCTGGTTTAACGGTGGAACGTGTCACGAGACCTGTGACGTTACAGGCAAGCGATTCACCTGCTCATGCAAGCCGCTCGTCGTTGGAAAGTTTTGTGAAACTGGTAAGTTTATATACTTTAGGTTTATATGAGGTGCTTAAATCGACAGTGCTTCTATTGTACTTGAATGTCAATCATAATCGCGAATATTCACCTCTAATTGGATGTTAACATCAACGAATTAACCGCATTCCTCGAGTATTTTATGATAAAAGGGGGAAGTTTCTAGAGAAATTGTGGTGGTGTGTTGGTGGGGAAGTTTAAGAAGGTAATTTTGTTTTTATCAACTGAGTTGATATTGTAAATTGGCCACAGTAAAGAGTTTTTTTCAAAAAAGGAGGAACGTTTCTAAAGAAATTGTGGTGGTGCGTCGGTGGGGGAGTTTAACAAGGCAATTTCGTTTTTATCGACTCAGTTGATAATATAAAATGGCCATAGTGAAGAGTTTCAGAACTGACGTTTCGAGCATTAGCTCTTTGTCAGAAGGAAATGACAAAAGGCTAGGGCAGTTCAGAAAACCAAAACTTCCTCATTTCCTAATAGGGTATGTTTTTTTCCGAAGGACGAGAAACTAATTTTGTCTCTCAGGAAAGACGAGCATTAGACTGAGTTATCAAGTAACGCAACCCAGACAACGATCTTTATAAGTACATTTGGAAGATAGTTTGTTTATATTTATGACGAAGGTGATAATTTATTGACATGGTGAAAATGATTTGTTGTTGCTAAAGAATGTATAGTGGGGCGACAATGGGTAGTGTAATCAGGTCTTTTATCAGTTGGAGGCCATGAAGAGCTGTTCTAGCCTGGTATTGCTTGAATGATGACTTCAGGTTCCTACACTATAAAAGATATAAAGATGTGGTCTCTTAAGGCTGGAACAAATTTCCATGGCTTCGAATTAGATTGCTTACCTTAATCTTTTCTTTTGGTAATAAATGCCTTGATCTAATAAACCATAATCACTATCGGTGCATGCGCATTTTGTTGCTGCGGCACACCCTGTCATTATTTGATTGCTTATAAAACGACTAACACAGTGGTATTACTTCTACAGCCCCATGCCTCACTCCTGATTGGCTCAGAGTTAACAATTCGTGCTATAAGGAGTTTAATGAACAAGTAAACTGGTTCAGTGCTCAGCAAGCCTGTAAAAACTTCAAAAGCAATCTGACATCCATTCATTCAGAAGCAGAAAACAAGTTTATTCGCGAAAAGGTTGCATCATCAAATCAATACTGGATTGGACTTAACAACTTGAGAGACAACTCTGTGTTTGAATGGAATGATGGATCTACCAAGTCATTTACCAAATGGAATACTGGTGAACCAAATAATATGGGAGAAGAAAATTGTACTGAAGTCGTGGATAGGGTTACAGGCAAATGGAATGATTTGAACTGCTCTTCTAAAAACAGGGGTTACGTTTGTAAAAAGCAATGGAACCTTTGAAGTCTTCAACTTTGAAGAATTTGACTTTTGATCACGATGCTGTTTTGTCTTAAGCCATGGAATCGATATTAATATTCACACTAGAATCTGAAATATCTCTATCTATTAAGACAGCGAGACACCCATCTACCAAAGCAAAGAAGAATATTGCACAGTATCAGTCAATTTTGCTATGGTTTATGAATTTGACTTGATCTTTTCAGGAATGGGTTGATAATGAGCTAAGAGTCGCGGGAGCGACATGAAAGGCTAAGAGAACGTTCAGTCCCATTGGGCGAGCAAAATCTGCTCAAATCCAACCGAAAAATTACATTTCTAGTTTATACTTTGTGTTTTTCTTTTTGGTAATTGAGTGACAGCATGATGAAAAATCTCAAAGGCTCGTGTAATTTCTGTGCACCGTAATGATGTCTACAAATATATGAGAAGTCAGTCTTACGGTCTCAGAACCAAATCCTTTTCAGAAAATTTAATAAGACATCCCTTCATATATCTCCAAGAAATGGCGAAATAGAATAAATATAAAGACAACTCTCATTTTTTATTCTCTGGTTAAGGGAATAGCGATTTCATGCTGGCTTTTGAATATGAAAATTGTTAATCTAGATTCTCCTTCAGGTCAAGTGTTCGGCCTAAGGGGAAATGTCCCTCCTGTAATGTGAGTCCAGGTGGAATGACAGTCGTCCTCAATACAACTAGTCTGTAACACAACTGTTAGTCTGTAACACAACTGTTAGTCTGTAACACAACTGTTAGTCTGTAACACAACTGTTAGTCTGTAACACAACTGTTAGTCTGTAACACAACTGTTAGTCTGTAACACAACTGTTAGTCTGTAACACAACTGCTAGTCTGTAACACAACTGTTAGTTAGTTTGTAACACAACTGTTAGTCTATAACACAACTGTTAGTCT